CTCCCCTCTCTCTTTCCAACCTTTACAACGATTTAGCGAAATCCCCCCAAATATTCCAGACAGCCCTTTGCACCGCGCCGGGCTCGCAGCCCGCAAATGACTGGCCAAATCCAATCAATTTACACGCCGGCCAAGGGAGATAATCCAATTTGTTCCCCACCTCATCGGCAGTCGCAGGAGTTGTCGTCCCCTGTCCTCCTGTCGACAGCGACTCTATTGAGCTGCCACAGTCGCCACACCACCCACCCACTGACTGTGCTACTGATTGGGTGTTTTTTCCCATTTTTTTGGGGGGGGGGGGGCAAGGAGGTTACAGTTGGGTAGACAGCGTTGAGTAATGAAATACTAAAACATGGATACATAATAATACTATTAGCACACAAGCGCTCGCGCACACACATGACGCTATCTCTCTTACACATACACACACACACACACACACACACACACACACACACACAGCGAGAGCAAGCATGAGGGAGAAGAGAGAGAGAGAGAGAGAGAGAGAGAGAGAGAGCGAGCGAGAGAGAGAGAAAGAGAGAGAGAGAGGGGGCGGGGGTGAGAAGGAGTGGGAGCAAGTCAGAGAAAGAGAGACAGAGACGGAGTGAGTGTGTGCGTGTGTGTGTGTGTGTGTGTGAGTGTTTGTGTGTTTGTTTGCGTGCGTGAGATAGTTTTAGTAGAGGTTTTACGGCGCTCGCAACTGCATAAGGTCATATATATGAGCGCCAAGGGGTGGACGTCAACAGAGAAATCTTTACAGGGAATCAAACTTACTCTGTTCACCTCTCTAACTTCAACAGCAGAAAGTCTGCTTCGACTATCAAGGCACTCCGGAGATAGCGGGTCACAAGAGTGTGACAAACATACAAAAGAAGTAGAGGAAAATGACGATAGTAAGGGTTAGGAAAGAAAAAGCAGCAGTTCCCTGTTGTAGTTCAGGCACAGTTATGAGCATGACATGGTTGGATCAGCCCATTTACAATTCTACTGTGCATTAGAACGAGAAATGTCCCCCCTTAGGGAATGGCCTAAAGACACTTGAGCCAATGGCATCGCCCCGG